ATTAACAAAGACATTAAACAATACTGGACCCAGGAAAGATCCCTGGGGAACCCCACTTGATACCTCCTCCAAACTAGACATTGAGTCACTGATGGTTATTCACCGAGTATGATAATTCAGCCTGTTGTATATCCACTTTACAGTATTTGCATCTATTGTGTATTTCCTTAGCTCATTAATGAGAGTATCATTTGAGACAGAATCAAAAGCTTTGCTAAAGTCAAGATAAATAACATCCTCTGCTCTCCCCGCAGCCACAGAGACTGTCACCTTATCATAGGAGGAAATCGCGTTGGTCAGGCATGACTTGCTCTTGGTGAATCCATGCTGGCCTTTCCTGATCACTTTGTTTTTCTAGGTGCTTCACAATATATCTTTCCAGTGAACAAGTGAGTATAGTCCCTAACTAGGAGAAAGTTTAGTTGTAGGGTGTTTGTTTTTTTGGGGGGGAGGGGCATGGCCAGGGAAAATAGGGGAGAAAGAATCAGAAAAAGAGCAGCCATAGACAGTTACCTATCCAGTTAGAGTAAGCAGACTGGATTCTGTAGGTATTATGACAGAGATAATAGCAATCTGAACTAGAAGCTAAATATACCTGTCTCACAAGTTAAGAAACGTGACTTTCATTTCATTTTGTTACCTGCCAGTAAAGTTTCTGACTGTAAAAAAATAACCCCTCTGCAGGTGTGAAGAACACATCTCAAGCATTTATTTACTGTGGTGTTTGACCCCTTCTTAGTTTTCTTGCATTGATTTGTCACTTATTGTTTTGGTTCACTGCATGTTGCACTTCCCCTAAACAGAAGGGTTATGGCCTGTTTCTGTTAGTGGCTTTCTCCGTTGGTAAAAATCACACATTATTAAACTTTACATACATTGGAACAGACTCAGAACTCCCTCTTAACTGGTCCTTTTTTTTACAGGCTCAATTATCTGCAGGCACAATTTATGCATATACCATAGATATTCCAGAATCTGATTTGCTGAAACAATAAAGTGCTTACTACGCGAAATAATCAATTGTAACTGCAAATAATGGGAGCATAAACTTGCATCTTTCTGTGAATGTAATCTTCCTAGAATGTACTCTTCCTGGAGTGTAATGAACCCCCACCCTATTTTGTCATGTATGGGCACTACTTGTTTTAAGCCAACTTGTTATATTCTTCAGATCTAATAAGCACCTAAGATTTGCCCATCATAACATATTTACAGTACTCAAAATGAGGTTTCTGTGGTGCAGGATTCTATCATTTGTATGGGATCTATGAAAGTCATCACTTAAACTCCCAACTCCCTGTTCACTCTCCATTCCTTGAATCTTTTTTTTCCAGGAAGACTTAAGAGTAACTCAGTGATTTCAGGTTATGATAGCTAAAATCAGTTATTCATGAATTTCCAGTGAAATGCTATAGTTGAGAGCAAGTGTGAACCTTTGATTTAAAAGCAAGGGAACAGAGGAGTAGCATTATCTCTTTATACAGTGTCAGTGAAATCATTAATGAGATACTGGGTTCAGTATAGATTTGTCCAAAGGGATGTTGGTAATTTGGAAAGGTTTTAGAAGAGAGCCACAAAAAGTCTTCAGAAAAAAACTTTGGAAAAAGAGGAAAACCTCCATTTATTTATCTTACCCAGAGAAGGGTCTAAAATGACCTACAGGAGAAAGAGATTTCCGATAGGTGATTTTTAAAATTTAGCAGACAAAGGCAGAACCAGCTCCAGTCATTACTGAAAATAAACAAAGTGAGGCTAAAAATAGAGCACATATGTTTAATAATAAGGGGGATCAAACATTGGAATATTTTATCTGCAGAATAATAGATTCTAATGTAGAAGTGCCATATCTAAATACGATCTTCCATTTCAATTAGGGGTCATGAGCCTGGTGTAGAAATAAGGTGAATTTGTTTGGCTTGTCTTATACAGAAGATCAGGCCACACTAAAAAGTTATGACACTCTGAGTAGTCTGCTCTGCATAACTAAATGAAAGAAGTTTAATGTGTGTTTGACTTCCTTGAAGCAATTACTAGAAGACAGGACAGGACATGTATTCTGTGGCTGGCCACTGGAAACTCCTTACCAGTGGCATAATGATGCAGCCTGGTACCTATGGCAGCTACCCTGCTCAGGGGTAGCAGTGATGTCTGGTTGCCCTAGTGAGTGCAATTGTGCAGCCATTTTTTTTCCTGCTCCCCTCTCAAGTCTGTCCCAGTCAGTGCCACACCTTTACTATAGATACACTTCTTGCTAGTTTTCTTTTCTGTTTAGGACTTAGAAAGAGACTGCAGTGATACTTAACCAGGACCACAGTTGCAATAGCACCTTAAATGAAAATACCTTCAGTTGAGCTGAACTCTTTATCTAAGTACAGCTGTGATTACAAACTACCAAACTGAGCTGGGGACTTTATTAGTACAGCTCTGTCACTTGGTAAGAACAAGGGTGTTTCTTTTCTTTTGCCCTAGTGATAGCTTATTTACATAAAGCTACATGTTTGTCATAGAATATGAACCCAAATAATAACATTTTGTTAATGACAAATGTATGGTGGGTACTTACACACACTAGATGCCTAGAAATAATTAAGAGTCAATAAGTATTTAAGAGTATTGAAATTAGAAAATTCATCATACTATTTCAGTAGAGTTCTAGTTCTCCAAGAAACTGTGCTGTCACATAGTGAGAAGATAGCTCATTGGAAAGGTGCATGCCTCGAACAATTACAATCAAGTGATGTCTCATACAAGATCTCATTTGTGAAATCATAAAAGCGACAGCTTCTGAGACAGGAATAGAAGTTTGAATAGTAAATTCTAAATTACATAATTTACCATTTAGTTTGTAACATTTAGTTACATAAGAGCTAATTATCAGCCCATTAAAGCTACTGAATGTCTCCAGCAGTAGAATTTACCAGTGATTTTCAAAAGACATTCAAAGTGGCTTTGTACAATCTACATCAATGCACTATTTTTGTTCCCTTATAGCTGGATCACAGACTGTTATTGTTCTATTGCCTCCATGTTAATGGGACTATAAAAACAGCTAAGCTAGTTAGGACCCCAAGTCCTATCGAAAGCCTTAGGCTCCCAACTCACTTAGATGCTCTTTGAAGTCCTGTCATTGTCTCTTATTTCAAACACTGAATCAATCCCCACAAAAATCCTGACCTCAGAGGAGGCCCCCTAAGGGGATCTGAATGGCTACAAGTCTCAGACAATTGAGATTAGATTTTTCTGGCTATGGTGAGTATATAACCTGGAAGCATTTCTAATTGCTTTTTCAGTCATCTGGATCTGAAAGCATGAGCCATTATGGCTTACACCAATATCTTCAAAGGTGCTTAAATGACTTTGGAAGCTAGGCCACATTTTTGTAAGTGACCTTGGCACTTACGACCCTAAATCCCACTAACTTTCAATAAGACTTAGCTATTAGGTGCCTAAAAACCAGATTTTTAAAGGTACTTAGAGATACAGATAGATATCTAGTGGAATTTCCCGTATCGTTGAGGTACATAACTCCTTCTGAAACCAATGGGAGTTGGCATTTAGATGCAGTTGAGAATTCAATTAGGCATCTAAATACCTTGAAATCTGGCCCTAAGTCAGAAAGTGGGACTTGAGAGCATAAATCCCACAGGCATTTTTGAAAACACTTAGAAGTTTTGAATCTGTACTTCAGCTTAAGCAACATGAATTTCACTACATTAATGAGAAGCTTGGAACGGGTAATTGGTTAATTAAAGTAATTTCACCAATGAGTGTTTTTAGTGTTGCGTCTATACTAATTTTCTTTCAAATTCTTGAAAACATCCTGTGTGTGGTTTTAGTGGGGCTTTTGGTTTCATTACAGAAATTGTTCACATATCTGTTTGAAGCTTTTTATACGATTGCTTCTTACACAGGTCTTTAGTAGGCTCATTGCAGACCTATTGGTTGATTGAAAATACATGTAATTGTCTCCATAATTTTATCTGGAGATGCTGGGAATGCTGAAAGCAACTGTAGGGACCTGCATGAAGGTAAAGGGCTACTCTTCTAGCACTTCTACCATATGGGTCTTAGCTGCATTTCAGGATGAAAGGTGGAAAGGCTCTAAAGGAAGGAGGAGGAGAAGGTACAGAGTGAGACAGGAAGTATGGCAGGACAAAGAACCTCTTTTAACAGTCATCTTAGGCTAAGAGTATGAACAAGTGAACAATTTTCTGGGTAAAAAGAGTTGGGGCATCTGCACTGTGACCACTGCAAGTTCTGTAACTGAGGGGGAGTGACCAGGATGCCGCCTAGCACCCAGCAGCCCAAGGTGCTGCCTTTGGTGGGGGAGAGGGTGTAAAAACAGCTGCTGCCACCACTGCTTGCAGCTGGTGTTGCCTCATGCCTTGCCACTGCTCAAGGTACAGAGCTGCTTTGTTATGCCTCTGATCACTGCCTGTGTGCATTGTTTTACTGTATGATAAGTAGAAGCTAAACTGCAGTAGTTTAGCCCTCACTGAAAGAGGAATAGTTTACCATGGCTTAGCTTTCTCTTATAGAGTGGTAAAAGCATGAACATGGGCAGTAATCATGCATGTTTACACGTGCACTTTAATGTGCAGTAGCTTTTTTTACTGCATATTAGGTGTTAATACACAAATGCATAGTTAAATTAGGCTATTGTGCATTAAGTTTCACTAAAAAAGCATGCACTTTTCTACTGTGCATTAGGGCAGCCTAATGCGCATTTAGTTAGTACTTCACATTAGAGGTACTAAATTTAATGCACAGTAACAAAAGTGCATTGTGTAGATGCACCCGCAGAATACTTAAAATGCAGTAAAAACTTGATCTCTTTTACTCTACTTTAAATTGTTCATGCCTCATTATTTGGGGGCTATATGAGGGTTTTGTTTTTTTTTCATTTTTACCCTGTTGGACAGTGAAGACTTAGCCCATTCACACTCCCAATTAGATGCTACTACTACTGCATTTGCTTTTTTCCCTTAAGTAAGACTTACTTTCATCTCCAGTTTCAAATTCAAACTTCTGGCTATAGCCGCTGTATCCTGCTGCCGTTCTGACTCTGATATGAAATATGTACTTGGTGGCTGGCTTGAGACCTGTGATGATAACACTCGGAGCCTTGGACCTTGTGGAAGAGTAGCTGAGCTGCTCATGCTCCTGAGGGACAAAAGAGGGGAGAAATGATTCAGGGTGAGTCGCACAGACTTTGCAATAGTGACATTCTAAAACTGAAGCTGTATGTTTTTCTTATGAATGTCAAATGCATTTATACAGGGAAGTGCAAGTATGAATCCCATTACAGTACTTTGATATTACGCTATCATCACAAGGTATAACATGACTTTGGCTTAGAGATAGTTAAAGAAATTTTGCTTCATCTTGCACACAATGAACATTGCATCTTTGTGACTGGGTTAGTAATTACATCGTAGTCAAAGTAATATGGTATTAGTACAAGACTAAATTCACAGAAAATGGCAGCTAATATAGCAGCTACTTATTTTCCACAATGGATAAATTAGGAGTTCAGTAAGTACTAGTAAAGAGGAAAGTAAAGATGTGGGAGTATTCAAATACCCGCTACTCACTTCTACCCGCAGGTAGTGCCAAAATGCCGGCGCTATCCGGGGGTAGACCTGTGGGTAAAAGAAAATAAAAATTAACTTTTTCTTTAAAGTTTGAAAACTTCTTGCATGGCTCTAGCATGCTCTGTTGTCAAACGTAATTGTCCTGTTCAGTTAGCTGTAATATAGATGTGCATAAGTTCCCTTGAACTTTATTATGAAAAACATTCTTTGTAGAATTCCTGTGTTAAACACTTAGCAGGTGGTCCTGGGTGGTGTTGAGCATGCCCCAAATCCTAATGTAGTCACTGGGAGGTAGGATGGTTAGCACCTCCTTAGGATCACATATTTAGTAGGGAGGTTCTGTCAATTGGATTGCTGCAGAATTCAATATATACTCTGCACACAGAAGGTGTTGATGATGTTAGTTCCATATTTTTAGGATACACTAACGACAGTGAAATAACAGAGCAGAGAGCTTGCTTCATTTCATTAGTTACTGTCACTGTGTAATTCAATAATGTGTAATATTTTATATGATGTCTCTAGGTTACTTTTATTGTGTTATAGTGCGTCTCATTGACAACTGAAGCCCAAGGCAAACTGTACATTTGACCCTTGATAATCTAATAGTAGTATCCACAGGGCACCATATAAACTTATATCATGCACTGATATTACAGTATGTGGTATATATAGCTAGCAAAAGTATGCTTCTAGATAGTTGATGTGAAACAATCCTGGTTCACTTAAGAAATATAACGAGGAAAAGAACAGTTTTACTTGCATTAGATTATCACTCTTGATAAGCATGCATATAATTTTACAGCAAGTCTTGCACTATAAACAACTGCCTAGTTCATCCCAATGTAACTTCATTGAGGTCTATGAAACTTATACCAGAGACAAATTTGGTATACACTAGGAGGCATAACAAAGCAAATAAATAAACCACATAAAAGAGCATAAGTATAGTCACACAGTTTAGTAGTTTGGGTTGGGGAAACACTGACCACCATTTAAGTCTACTATATCTCAAGCATGAAATTCAGAACCTGGCAAAAATGTAAGAATCTTAAATAAGAGAAAGTCCTCATGCTGCTGTGATTCCTTTAACAGTCTGTTAGTAAATCTGAAAGTTGTAATCTCTATTGCATTTAAACATATTAAGTAAAATGTAAAATACCTAGGAATATATGGATAGAGAATGCAGGTAATATAAAGAAACAAAGGAATTAGGGTACCCCCCGGTGCAATGGCATTTCATAATATCAAAATGTAAAAGGATGCTCGCCTTAATTAACACAAAATATTAAGCATTTCATCTTGGACTTCTTTGTGCCAACAGCTCAGAGTTAAAACCTGTTGTTACCAACATAGGTTTTTGTATTATCTTTTCTGGGACTTCCCATAGGTCTGAGTATATGTATAAGAAGAGGTCAACATTTGTTCTCCAATGCACCTCCTCAGCACCCACAATTACATTGTTCCTGAACAGCAGTTCTTTCCACCCCTTCTGAAACCACTCCAAGTGAACACTGGCCCATACACTAAATAAAATACTTTTCACCACTTATATTTCATATGGAAATTTTCTCTCTCTCATTGTCATTGTTACAGTAGCTAAGGACCTCTGATCTGATTCTGAGAGGGGCACAGCACTTGAACATCCACTGAAGCCTCTTGGGGCTATGACTGGTCAATACTTTACGAAGTCAGACCTTTCGGTGCAACCACTGTGGTATAAGAATCTGAATGAGAGATAATTAAGTCCTGTAACTACCAAATTCTATATATATCCATTTTTGTTTCATGGCCTTTTACACCAACAGTTCTCTTGAGAACAGAAACAATTTCTTTCCTCATCTTTGTATAGGAAAACCATCAGTCCAACCACACACGCGTGCAGTGGCACTAATTCCAGACAAAATTGCTTAATAGGTACAGGATTACGACTATAAACTGGGTATCATGTTAAATCCTTAAACTACTTGAATATTTTCCCTATGTAGTCAAAAGAAAGGGCATTTCTTTTCTTTAAATTCTTCACTCAGACAAATAAGTCTCCAGACAGCATCCATATGTCAACATATTGCTTTCTATTTCTTTTTCCATCTCACCAGAGAGAAAAATGGAACAGACTTGAAGATATTGCATACTTGTGTAATTGAAATATTGATAAACAAGACTAAGAATGTGGAGGCCTTTTATTTTTTTAGTTCAGATTATGATCAAAATGAACAAAATACTGATTCTACTGATGACAGAAATATATAGAATTAGGAATGTCTCAGCATGCAGATAGGCCATGTAATACCACATTAAACAGTAAATAAGCAAAATACAGAATTTTACTTATGATGCCCAGATAACCTTTAGATTAACTTTACCAGTAAACCACTGCTAAGTTTCAGCCACTTTCAGCCATGCAGGATTTGTCTCTATTAATATTTGAGTGATACAGAGAAATACAGCTGTAATCAATCAGCTCTTTATTTTACCTATGAAAAAGACAGCTAAGAGTCATTTTCTATCTTTTTAAATATATAACAGGAATCCAAAGAAATACGAGGCACCTAAAAATTACTCTGCCTGCCTTATTTTAAGAATGACACAGCATATACCATCCTGTAAATTGTATGAATCACTGACAAGCCTTTTTAGGGTCAAGTTTCTCAAAGGCTTCTACAAGGCATCGCTGGTGAACATGCTTGTCATGAATTCAAGACTTTCAAATGAGAAAGTTGTGTGTGGAAAAAATTATTGAAATAGTAACCAGAGAAAGAAACAGCATAAACCAGGGGTGTTGAAGATATGGCCCATGGGCTGGACCTGATCAGTGGAGCCCTATCAATTGGTCCCCAGTGCTGCCCTGACCAACAGGCAGCATTCTGGGTGCATTGGATGGTCCCACATGCTGCATGAGGTGCTTACTCCAGCTTGCATCCTGGAGTGGCAGAGCAGCTGCCACAAGTAGCACCGCCCTGGAGTAGCTGGAGCAGGACCATGCTGCATACAGTGCATATTCCAACTGCTCTAGGACACATGCTAGATTCAGCATGTGGAACTGGTCTGCGGGGACATCTACACAGATGCTTTACTGTGGAGTTGACTAATTATCTTCACAGTAAAGCATCATTGGCTATATGTGCGACACTATTAGGCCACAGTAAACTAATCAAATCCTCCATAAGATAGTACTGCTTGACACAAATACTGTCCTATGGCAGAATTATTTACTCCAGTGCAATGCACATGTAGCTGGTGACTGGGGCTGGCTGGAGCATGAGGATGGAAATGCAGGACTGCAGTACCCCACCTAGACCCTATGCAGCACTTTGTACCACACTGGAGCAGCTCTAGGCTGGCAGGCTGACCCGCGGGACCTGCTGCCCACTGGGGCTGTGCTGCCCTAGCCCAACATGCTGAAGTCTTGGGTGCATGTATAAATGCTGCACCCAGGAGCAAAAAACTCTGGCACGAACTGCACAGGAGTTTATTCAGCCATGCTAACTGCATATGTAGATGAGCCCTGTGAGTTCAATCTGGCCCATGGACCAGCTCCATGCCGCTCATCCACCCCAGGGGTCAAATGAATTTGACATCCCTGGAATAAAAATTAAGGTATTGTGTGCTTATGGAAGTGGAATACTGATAAAGAAGAACCATGATGTGGAAAACTTGTATCTTCTTAGCATCAGATTGTGACAAAAGTGAATTAAAAAAAATGTTTATTTTTTCCATTTACCCTCAACTGTTTGCAAATGTGAATTTTGTAATTTGTGTCCATCTTGCTTCCATATGAAAATGCTGTCCTAACACCATATAATCCAACTCAGTATTTTTAAGGCACATCCAGTTACGAAGTAAATACAAATAGAAGTACTATGCATCACAGGGACCAAACCTTTCTCTTGCTGATGGGACAGCATTGAAGCCAGTGCATGCTAAATAACAGTGAAGTTTATGCTGCTCATCAATTATCACATTTGCTTTAAATCAATGAAATAAATGCTTGAAAATATCAGCTTTTATCTATCTTTTTTTCTTGGTAGGTGAGTGCATAAATTTGATGGACATATGTTGATTTGCCTATGGAGGAAGCAGTATTTCCTAGAGGTGTGCCAATACATTGGTCCAATATCGGATCAGTACCAATATAAAGAAAATTGGCTGTATCAGAAATCAACCTGAAGTGGCCGATAATTTGGCTGATAAATACCTGTGCATATGTGCAGCCACAGTGCAGTTCGCAGCCAGCGAGGAGCAGAGCCCATCAGCGTGGAGAGCTGCATGCAGCTGGGAAGTCTGTTGTGGTGGGAAGGGAGTGGGGAGGGAAAGGGCGTGGGGTGGGCAGATTAACCCCTGATGCAGTAAGGGAGGGATGGGGTGCAGTGTGAGGTAGAGCCATGGCTTGTTGGGGGGGGCATGCGGGGTGGGGTGTAACCCTGGATCTGTACACGGTGGGGTAGGGGGTGCAGCTGCCGGTTGGAGCCGAGGCTGTGCCAGGCTCGTTGTGGTGGGGGCTGGGCTTGGTACAGGTGGTGCTGGGAGGAGGGCTATGGAGGGGGCTGCAGCCACTTCAAATTTCACCATGGATCCCCAGTGTCACCACCGCCTGCCTGGTGCAGCCATGGCTCTACCAGGTGTGTTGGGGGAGGTGGGTGTTGAGCCAGGGCTACATTGGGTGGGTGGCGGCGGTGCTGGGAGTGGGGCTATGGTGGGGCTACAATGAAATCTGGAGTAGCTGCAGCCCCCCCCCATAACCCCCCTCCCAGTGCTGCTGCCACCCACCCCAAACCCAGCCCCTGCCAAGAAGAGCCCAGTGCAGCCCCGCAGCCCACAGCTGTAGGCCACCCACCCCGCACAGATCCAGGGGGCACATGCCCCACCTATGCCATACTGTGTGCGCTCAGTGGTGGGATTCACGCCCCCATGAGCTGTGTCTTGTCCCGCACCCTGCACCACCCCAGCTGAGCAGTGCCTGGCCCTGCCCCCTCCCTCTTTCACCACAAAGGGTGTTGATCTGCCCCCACCCATATCCCTTCCACTACAACAGACTTACTAGTTGC